TCATATTATTCTAGAGGAATCTATTTCCATATATTTTTGAATCTTTACCTTCAACCGCTCTCAATTTAGATAATAACTAGAATAGTTAGCATTACTCATGTTTGACAGTCAGGTTCATTTATTTATTTCTAGTTGTCTCTGGTAGAATGACATGGTAATGAATAATTTACAAAGTAGAGAAGAAAAAAAAATTAATAATTCAGCTTATTGTTATGTTACCATCATACTACCAGTTACTGATGGGAAATATTAGCTAAAGTAAGTGAGGAATACCAAGACAGTTTTTTTCAGCAATATGCAGTATTTATTTCTGAAGTTTCTTCCAAGTTTCTTCTTCTAAGTCACTTTCTGAGACCACCTAGATACAAGAGACAGGCATTACATTTACAGCCAGGACATGTTTTTATTATGCTACTTGTCCAAAATGAGTGCTGGAAATGGAAAACAGTTCCAGGACAGACTGAAGACAAAATGCCATTATTCTTCTGTGTACTTTGTACAGATTATATATGGAAAATCTTGTAATAAATGAAGCAAGGTAGTCAAAAATAGTCAATGCACTGAGTAGGAATATACTCTTTGAAAATTTTAAGAATCAGAGTTTTCTGGGGACTCAGTGGAGACTGACAACAAAAAACCCACTTATTTTTCTATGACTTTTCGAACTGACTACAGTCAGTCATACTGCAAAGCCATGAAATTGTAACTAGGCATTTATAGTATAGCATGGGTTTATAAAAGCTCCCGATTCCAGAATCAAGAAAATCCTTTCCTTCTCATTCATAACTCCCTGAGCATGTTTATTTTAGATCCCCACTACTAAACATTATTTCACTCACATACATACGTTTAATTACAACTCTCCTTTTTTCATTGCTGAAAGTGGTTGAGTCTCATTCTAAAGCCAAGATATATCACCCAGGATTAAAGAACAGTCCACTAAATTAGTTTTGTTCTTTAACCCTTTCCCAATGCTTATTTTAATGCCGCTTGCCATACAGCACTGACTTGGTTAGAAAAAAACCCGTTACCTAAATTGAAGACTAAACTTCGTGTTTGCAACTCTAAGCCTACAGTAAAAATAAATAAAAAATAAATAAAAATCAAGCCAAACATTAAAGGTAATCAAACATATATAACATTGCCTACTGCTACATGATGGAAAGGTTGTTACAGTAGAGAATTCCCTAGCTTCGGAAAAGAGCTTACTTTTGATAGATATCTACTCAAATACTTACATCTATTGCAGCCTTGCAAGCACAGATATTGCACTTTAATATGTGAGGCATTTTGTGTGTATTCTGAAAGAAACCTTTGCAATCACAAATCAGATTAAGAAACCGTGAGCTTTCATAGTCTTGCTACAGTAGCAGCTGAAAAATCAAAGCCACACCCAAATTATTTTTGCTGACGCATCATGAAGTGACTCAGGATTTCTCCATTAGAGACAGGGGCTTCCCACGCCCAGTGTCCTTTACTATGATAAAATCTACTACCTAGTAAATCCCTGCTCTAGTTTCCAACCATAGCTAATGGAGCAGATTAACCTCGAAAATAGTATTTAATGCCATTGCACAAAATAAGAGGTTTAAAGATCTCTTCTTAAAATACGGACATGTTTTTCCAAAGCAGAGGTTTCACACGCCAAAACCACTGTGGGAGCTTAAACCACCTCCAAAATAACCACAAATTATGAATTATCAGTTAAAAAAAAATAATAATTAAACATTTCTACCACAGTGTCAGCAAAGGCTCAGATACGCTGAACAAAATAAACAGTATTGAAATTCTCCCCCCTCTCTGAAAACACAGGTTTGGAGAAGTTGAGCTAACACTCACAGACAGCGCGATCTTTGTCTCCTGGAAGAGGGCATTCCATTTTTCTCTTCGGTACTGCTCCCATGCACCTGACAGAATCTCGCCCGCCTCCCCGATTCTTTCCGCTTGTCCCTCCAGGATGACCCGAGCCGAGGATGAAAAGCAGCCGTCAGTGTAATTGCACCTGTGGCCCTGCACAGTAGCATTTTCCTGACGGCATCAGCGGATGCAGTTTGAAACTTCCCAGGACTGCGATTTCTCCTGACTAATGTGGCTTTCTGCCTGGGGAGGAGGGAGATGAGGATGACAGATTGCTAAAGGCTTTTAAAAAGATACCGCTTGAAAGAATTATTGCACATCGATCTTCTATGCAGCCATTAATAAGACTTTCCAAGCAACAGTATTTAAAAGCCTCGGTCATACTCTCCTGGCTGGTAACCACCTCCTCCTGTGCTCCGACTGCTGAAGAGCCAGGCACTGACAGGGCTAATATTAGACAATGACTTCAAGGCAGCGAAAGAGTCATTTAAATTTCCTATTCTGCTTTCACTGCCACAGGAGCGTAGACCTTGGTTTTTCCAGCACTACTGTATCATCTGATTTAGAAGCAGGCTCCGAGAACTACTTCAAAGCCATTAATCTATTACTGTTCCCGGATATTTTCTGATGCACGATATATATCTAATTCTGCATGCACCCATGTGTCCTAAAGAGTTAGGAAAGTCTTACAGCCTGTGTATAGTTCTGTCTTGCTTGGTCTGTGACATGGGAAAGCTCTTTCCTTTGCATTTTCAGCAGGCGGTTGCACATTACTGCCATTGTGGAAAAGTCTTAGAAAGAAATATTATGTACTAGACAAAGCCCTGAAACTCACTGAGAGCTCTGGATTATTTACCCATCTAAAAGTGGACCTGTGAATGCAGGTGAAAAGCTGAGCAGGACCTTTCTGATGAGGAGAGAGATGAAAAATACATGAAAAACTGGAAGTAGTCCATGTTACCTTCCCTGGAGGACAGGGCAACAGGCCAGCCAGACTCTGTACCTGCAGCTTCGGGTGGGAAATCACTGATCATGCAGGTCATCAGACTAGGCTGATGCAGGAAAACTGGTTTATTTTACACCAGTTACTAACAACTCCCAGATTCTACCCTTCACTTACATTCAAAACTAAATTAAAGAAATTAATGCATCTGACTGGTAAACTAGTGGAATATTTCTGAAGCATTTTGGAAACCTCTTTAAGACACCAGCTCCAAAGAATTAATTGTTTATCCGTTATAAATCATGTTCATTCTGACTCTTAATGACAACACACTGTAAGCAAGCATCTTTACTGAAGCGAAAAAGCATCCAAGAAACAAAAGAGCCAGTCACATTATAAAGACTAAAAGAAAAGTACAGCGAGTCATTTTGTTTATTCAAGCATCTCAAGGAAGTTGATTCATGACTTGAAGTTGTGAGAGCATTACTGCAGCATTAACTCTCCCATAAACATGACCCCAGAGTAATTAATACAGAGGATTAAACAATTTTAGGACCAACAGACCTCAAAATTTACTATGGATAATCATGTACTTTTGTCTTCAAATTTTCTATCAAAAATAATAAAGGCAATGTGGGTTCACACACCATACAGCCCATACAATACTTTTCTCTATCTGTTCAGATACGACATTACTGCTATCCTAAAATGCCTGATGAGTTTACTTGGCCTCTGCAACAACCAGACTGTTCTCACAAAGTTTTAAGCTTGCAGTTTCTTGTATTTTCTCTCTGGTATCACCTGCCTCCCAGTCATGCGGTGAAAAGGAGCACAGCCCGTCCTCCCCTTCCTCTTAGCAGACTGCTGAGAAGCAAAATACCCGAAATAGTCCATCCGTCACTAGTCCAGGTGCCTCTACAATACACTGCAATTTGCAGCAGAGATATCTCCCCAGGCTGCATTTACATGGTCAATTTAATCTGCCATTGCCAGTGGGTGCAGATGAAAGCTGCAGTACCATTTTAGAACACTAATGGTAATATTTATACAGCCAAATGGTGAGATGGAACAAGGAACTGACCTGACTGTAAAAAAGAAAAAAGAAAATAAAATCCATCTTTTTTTTTTTCTTTCTTTCTTAGCCAGGTTAGTTTATAGTCTAATCAGCCTCCTGAGCCAGCTTACAGCATCACCCACAAATCCAGGTGCCAGCATAAGGAAGAGGATGGGAATAAGCCAGAAAAGGGGAGCAAAGCCCAAACACCTCTTCTGGCAACAGCCCACACTACAGGCAGACAAAGCGCAGTCTCAGAACGAGCTCATCATAATGACAAGTGAGCTGTGGGTTTCACAGAACTGTGTATTTAAAACTGGCTTTATTTCATGCATATGTATAAAATGAGAGTACTACATCTTTAGTCCACCCAATATTTGGTGAGAAAAATCCTGTTGAAGAAGTATTACTGACACTACCATTGAAGTTGTGTGCATGTTCTTTTTCAGCTGCTTCTTCTTCCTAACTTATAACACTCGAGACATTATTTTTTAGAATACAACATTTATAAGCCTGATGCTTGATGAAAATCACATTACTTTTGCAAGTCCTAAAGCCTTCAGGTTTTTGAATGAATGTGATTTAAAATTTTCATCACAACAAAAAGTTTCAGAGGTTAGGTTTCCTGGGGTTTTCATTTGTTTTTGTTTCATTTTTTAAACAAAATCATTTTAGAACAGCTCAATTTGGGTGGAGAAAGCATTTGTGAAAACAAACATCACTGAGTGTTTTGATAAAAGCCACATTTCGCTTAAAAGGGTTCAGATGAGGATTTGAACATCTTGATTTAGTGATGGACCAGCATTCTAAGCAAAGAAATACGATATTTCAGACATGGTTTACTATTGTAGGCATGCAGAGAACACAACAGCTAAAGGCTCTTCTGAATATAGTTGTATTATGCTGGGAAAGGGCGGTCCCTCTTCCTGGAATCTCTCTTGAATCTTATAGAAATCTGTGTATCAGAACATTATATGTAGGCATCCTCCATGCCCCTCAGCACCAAGCAGCATCTTGGCTCGTTGCCTATATATGCCGTGAGAGCTGTCTTTCTGAACCTGACATTTGAACGCATCATGATGTTGCCCAGTATTTCCCAAGCACTTCTGTCCCACATCCTTCCGAAATGGCCTCCACCATTCCTACCTCCTCCCCACACAGGCCAGACCCAGGGCCATGTAGTTGCCAGCTCTGCTGAGCCCTGGTGCTTCTCTTCTCTCTCAGGATGGCATGGGGCTTGTAAAGCACTTCTCCACTGCTTCCAGGACTCATTTTTCACATTAGCTTCTTCCACTACAGCAAGAAGACAAAGAACGCAGACAATGTCTCCCCAAATTCTGGAAAGGGTAAATTCCATTTCTGTGCATGTTTTCCCCAGTGATGGGAAGATGACTGCTTGAGCAAGGGCTGGCTGTGAAATGACAGCACCTGCTACCCGTTCAAAATCTTTCTTCTCAGTTTGTGGGTTCTAATTCTAGGCTCAGTAGAGCTGTGTTCAGTATTTTACACAGATATAACTTTTGAATTCGGACATAAGATTTTTGACTCTCTTCACGTTCATTCCCAGCTTGTTTTCTTTTTAAATACAGATTAGTACGGATTCGGAGATTTAACACAGATCAGCGAGCCAAAGAAAATATCTTTTTGTTAACTTTGTATTATTCTCCCATTTGCACAAAGTAAAATTTGAAGTTGGGAAAGATCACGTATGCAATTTATATTATATTTTTCAGTCTGGGATTTCTAACGGGACAAATAATAAATCCCAAATTTAAAAGTCTGGAGTCATGCTAATGGACTTGATGATCTTAAAGGTCTTTTCCAACCTAAACGATTGTATGATTCTAATGATCAGACCTTCTAGATCTAGAATAAAAGATTAGATTCAACAGTGTCAGTACCACCATGACACTCAGTCAGCCTTCAGTGAGGCTATTCTTTAACATGTATTTCTATTAGTACTGAAATAGCTAGTGAATAGCAACGTTAACTAAATAATACGGACAGAACTGGTTGTAGGAATGGCACGAGACTCATGAGTTAATTAAGACAATGTCTCAAGTGAGAATAGCTTTCTTTTCTAATTAAAATTTTTACAAAATTGAGATGTTCATGGCAATGAAATTCAGTACTATATGTTACACAATTCCACATGCACACTTTGTATTTCAAATACCGTGTATGAAAAAGCCCTTAAGAATCTAAGGTGGTGGCAGTTTCACATTGTGGGTGTCAAAATCTCATTTTTTTTGTGCAACTTGGTGAAAAAGCTTGCACGGATTAACTGTCTTCTGCAAACAAAGCACTAAAATGGAAAACAACAAAAGTCAGCTCCAATCCTTCCACCAGAACCATACACTGACACAGTCAGGAAGACTTTCTGGGAATAGGTTCCAACAATGGTCTGGGTGAACCTGAAGGAAGGAGCATCTCACACACCAGGGAAAGCTGAGGGAGTTGGGACTGTTCAGCCTGGAGAAGAGAAGGCTTGGGGGGATCTTATCAATGTATGTAAATACCTGAAGGGCGGGTGCAAAGAAGACAGGGCCAGGCTTTTTTCAGTGGTGCCCAGTGACAGGACCAGAAGCAATGAGCACAAACCGGAACACTTTTTCACTATGAGGGTGACCAAGCACTGGCACAGACTGCCCAGTGTGGTTAAGGAGTCTCCGTCCTTGGAGATACTCAAAAGCTGTCTAGCCATGGTCCTGGGCAACTGGCTCTAGGTGGTCCTGCTTGAGCAGGGAGGCTGGACCAGATGACCTCCAGAGGTCCCTTCCAACCTCAACCATTCTGTGATTCTGTGAGCATAGCTTTAATATCTATCCAAATGTAAAAAAACCCCAAACTTGCACAAGCTCATTACAACTTAGGGCAAATGACTTAGCTGGAAGCAGAAATCAGGAACTGAAAATACACTCAAAGAGCAGTGTCTGGATCACCTTCATCCCAGTGTTCTGAAAGAATGGGCACAGGAGATCAAAGATCCAGCAGAAAGGATTTTTAATAAATCTATGAACTCCAAAGTGGAAAAAAGCAAACATAGTGCTTATATTTACAATGAGAAAAAAAGCAATCAGGAATATGTCAGGCCTATGAATCTGATCAAAAGCCAGCATGCTACTGAGAATTATTATTCTTTCTTGCAAAATTCAAATACAAAGAAGAAAACAGATTATCATCAAAACAGGTATCACATGGGTTCACCAGAGGTAGATTGTATCATACTCGCCCTACATTTTTCTTTGACAAGACAGCTAATTTTTCTAGATAAAGGAAATGCAGGAAATTTATATGGGCTTTTTATACTGTGCCATCTGGGGTATGGACCTCTGATACTGTACAGTTAAGATGAAAAAGATGGGAAAAGAACCAAATATGTAGATGGCAGAGGTAACAGTGGGTTATGCTGAACGGAAAGCTATCAGATCAGAAGAAGGTGGAGTTCCTAAAAGAATGAGTCTTTGGTCAAAGCTTTTGAGTTTTCCTTAATTAACCTTATACCAAAAAAGCATGCTAATGAAATTTCCCAGTAACACCAAGTAACATCATATATGCAGAAAAGGATTGAAACATCTTACAAACTGGATGACCTTGAGTGGGTACTGGTAACGGCATGCGATTTAACAGTAGACAACAGCAAGACCTTACACAAACTCTCCAATGATGTGGAAGCTGTTGGTAACAATAAGCACAGACATGAGGGGTTATCCCACCACATTACAACCGAGTCAAACAGTATGAAGACTTGAGAAAGTTGTTTGTAGGCCTAGGATGCAAGAAACAAAGTACTCGCAGCAGAAGCAAGTGAAAATACTTGTATAAGACCCCGACAAGTATGCAGAGTACCACGCTGCAAGCTAAGGTAAAGAAAGATGAACTCAAACTGAAGTAGAGGTAAAAGAAAAAAACCCAAACAAACAAATGACCAAAAATGAAGAACAGGAAAATCTGCTTTGTGAAGGGAAGCTAAAATATACTGGATTATTCAGTTTAGCAAAATCCTTAGCCTGGATAAGATTTCTTTCTATGAATACATTAGGAGACATAAATTCTAGAGATATATAAGGACTATATATGCAAATGGACAATATTAGCAGAAGTGCAAGTAGATATGAAGTGGCCATGAATAAATTTCCAGTCAGAAATTAGATGGTAGTTATTAACTATCAAAGCAATGAAGTTCTGACACAGTCCTCCCACTGAAATAACGATGCAGAAATTTAGCCAATTTGAACAAGGAACTTCTTTATTTGTACATTAAAAAAAAGAAATAGAAAACAAGGAGGAGATGTCATTGTCCAAACAAAAAAAACCCTAATACAATTCCAGTCTCATATCAAAATACACAAAACACCGCAGTTTTCCAGAGGACTCTGGGCTATACTGTGACTGCCACGCACACCACATTGTAACTGCAGCGTTCTGTCTTCTAGCCCATTTTGTAAAAAACTCAAGGAACATAACATCAAATTTCCCATCTCATGATCTCCCTTAATAAATGAAGACAGATGTTAATAAAGAATGTCATTCGTTGTTCCTCCACTTTTTAGTACAATCTGCTCTACACTGCAACAATTTTTAATTTGACACGCTGCTGGCAGACGAGCCCAGGCCAAGCCTATCAGGGGCACCTCTGTGGTTCTTGGGTTCTGTCCCCTCCCCCCAATATCTGCAGCACTTTAATTACAAGAGCAACTGGTTGTAACAAATGCAAGAACTGAAGTGCTGAGGACTATGTAGTCGGTGAATGAAAATCGCTGGCTGCTGTAGGAATTAATTTGTAAACTGGATAGAGCATGGCAGCACTTAGTGGATAAAGTAAAACGCCCGTCATTTATTATTGTTCAGTCACAACAATCTGCAATGGCTCTTGAACTGGATGGGAAACACTGCTTTCCCAGGGCAGTGGTGCCATGTTTCTGCTTCCCTTCCTTCAGAGAGAACACTAACGCAAAAGATACTTTGATAGTGAAAAAAATGATCGGTCTTTGGAAGCTCATAAATATCTATCAGCAGGCTATCACCTGTTTGATGCTGCAAAATGCGTAATGCAGGCTGCTGTCATTGATGTATTCAGGGCCTGTCAGACAGAGCTATGACCTGAAAAACGCGGAGAAAATAACACCATGTGTAACTGCAATGTGGAACAGCTGAAGCACAGGCCATTTGCTTCTCTTCCCTTTCCTACCCATTCCGTTGGGTACGAAAAACATGAAGGACCACTTCTTTCCCAATGACGCATTTGTTAGCGCACGACTACCGCTTATAATACTGACCGATACCTTGCTCGCAAGAGCTCCAAAAGCACAGAGAGAAGAGCTGTTCACGGTAACCTAGGGCTCAATGCTGAAAGCCTCCTTGCAACACTGACCGCTGAAGGACAACATGGCAAGTGACCTGCCGAGGTGCAGAACAAACCTAGTTCCCTACCAGAAATGATGAATAATTAAGGAAGAGAGTTTAGGGCCCAAGAAAAAAACCCTGAAGCAATAATTAAAAAATAAATATATTGTAGCATTAACTACCAAAATACTTTTCAGCTCCTTGCTAATTCCCATCTCTGGCTCATCTGTGTGGAGTGCGTTCATAATTCTCCGTGGAGCCTTCATTTTACAATAGCGTGAACCCTCCTGAGTACTTCTGGAGATAATTTTTGTGAATATTTCAAGGTACGCGTTCTTATCAGCAGGTATCTCACCCTGCTCTGCACCCCAACCAATCAACCAACCAAAAAAAAAAAAAAGTCTGTATTTTTCCTACTGTTGCTTATCTGATGTTATAGTTGTACCCTAACGTATGAAAGATGCGTTACTATGTCACTCAGTATACCTGTAAGTGTGTATAGACACACACACACAGAGTACACGCGCTTGATACAGTAATGTATCAAAGAGCCTTTACTAGTGATGGAAATCCATTCCCAAAATGCAAAGAAAATAGGGAAGTGCATATGCACATACGGAGAGATCTTCTACTCCCGATGCAGCAGAACTTTTTCAATCAAGATGGTAAATGCTGCATGAACCGAGGAACCGTGGAACTGTAAAATGAGTATCACTTTTACTGAAGAAGGAAATGCAGAGGGCAGGCGTTATACCCGTGAAATAAATTCTCACCACGGATTTATGCCATTAAAGGCAGCAATTTAACATAGTGGCAGTATAAATAACAGGTTTTATTGTTAGGATTCAAGGCTGGTTGTGGATAAACGCGAAACTCTGTGGTACAGACCAAAGCCATATACAGGTAGCTCTTACACAGCTGAGAAAAAAAACCGTCATTCTTTATACAAGGAGCTTTTTGCATCCTGGTAAAACCAGAAGCCTTATTGCTATTATGGCGATTAATAATGTTAAAGACAGTATTTCTCTACAACCCCTATCTCCGTACACCTGCAAAACCAGGTGTGCCCTCCGTGAAGGTGCAATTGCATTTACCTGCTGCAAACAGATCCGATTTTGTTACTGAACTGCAAGAGCAGATGTATTTACCCACTGTTTTAAAAAAGGCCAGGATGCTATTGTAGCCCCATTAACTAAAAAGACTTGCGATATAACCGGGGAAGTTTTATGCAAATCCTGCAAATCACGCAAACACTAGAAAGGCACGGCAGTTTCAGTACTTGCTGCACAGGTGAGTGGGTGCTGAAATGTACCTTTTGCCTGAACGGTGCGGGTTTGGGAGCGGGATTTACTGGCTACACCCCGGCCGGCCCCTTACCCCTCCTCAGCCCCTAACGGCTCCCCGGGGCCGGAGCAGGCGGCTTCGAGGGAACG